ATAGAATCAAGATGGAGAAAAGTTGTGCTGGAACATGGCACACCACAAAACATATTATTGCTGATGAATATCACGTGAAGTGAAAGTATGCGCTGCACTCTTTTCCCTTATACCAATTTTTATCCCAATTGGGTTTTTTCTGACAAGGTTTTTAACGAGGCAACAACAGAAGTCATACTACGAAGAAAGCTTCAATAGAAGCAATAAGACCTTTAATAACAAGGCACACATGAAAAGAGCCACTCTGAGACGGTTAGATAATCTTTTGCTCTATAGCAAAATTCCCACCAGGAAGTTAAGTTTGCTATCGAGCAAAGGTTACCCGACCGTTCAAAAGTGCAAACCACTAGAGGGTTGTTAGATAGTCCTTCACCCGATAGCATAAATTTCTAAGGGGAAACAAAGTATGTTATCGCGTTAAGGATTATCTAGCAATTTATTAGTGGGATCCTTGAAGGTGTAAAACTTCCAATGTTCCAATTTGCATTCTTCGCATTCAAACANGGGGGGGGGGGGGGGAAATGATATGAGGATAAGGCAACAATGACTACCACATTGTCTGGAAAATAAGAACCGAAAACATAGTTGTATCATCAAGACTGGAGACTGCGCGGCCATCCGATGGAAATAAGTTGTATAAGTTAGCAACAAGTAATAGCAATTTCTTTCTTTTAGCATAACAAATGCTTATGTACTTTTTGAAAATATAAGGAATAAAATGAAGTCCATTTGTTTTTATCTTATTTCTTGTCTGAACGATGAATTAACTTTGTAATTTAAAAGTTAAACAAGTACTTAAAATGCTAGTGTCATAATAAATAGGAGACGTCCTCTTCAAGAGCAACATAAACATAAGAAGGCCCTCTTTTATGAAAACCCTCATGTTAAAGGGTTGATTTTGGAAGAACTTACGCCCGGAATCAAAATGCCTTCGGGGAAAAATACACCCAAAGCCTTGCAAAAAAAGACGCACAATGCAAACTTACACAAATCTTACAAAAATCCTCACGTTAAAGGGTTGAACTCATACGAGTTTGTGCCCGAAATACAGATACTTTGGGGGGGGGGGGATTACATCTAAGGCCTTGTATAATTAGACGCAAACAGTAAAACCTGTGCAAAAATACCTAAGCAAAAGAGAATCCAAAGGTTAAAACTTGCATAAATGTTCAAACGAAAGAAAGCAGCAGCAATTTTAGCATCAAAATTAATGATACAAGCTTTGGCCTCCTCCAAGATTTTTTCTCCTCATGTTGTACATGGCGTAAGTTTTCTTAAAATGAGGGAAACCGCTTGGTGCTTAAGTTCTTCTTTGAGTTGAGTTACCTCGGCAAAAAGGTTTTCCAGGGTGGATCTAATGGACTTGAGGCTAACGTCAAATCACAGACAGTATAGCTAAAAAATTTATTATTCTCAAGGGTCTTCTTATATACCCCCCGCCCCCACAATCGGGCATATTTCACCGCCGCAGCAGGAAGCTCTTCGGCCTTGGAATTTAAGGCTGCCTATAAATTGATCAATCTTTTAGTGGAGGCAGCCTCACGATCGGATGCAACAAGAACGAAATATGGACTTCAACCTATTTGGACCTAGCCTCTTCAAATTGGACCATTAACGGGGCAACCTCTTGGATAAGGGTCTCCACTTCCTGTTTACTTTGCTGCATACGAGTTTCCAACACAACAGCCTCGACAACCTTGGTTTCCAGTTTCGAGAGGCGAATAATGGCTTGATCCCGTTCAACCAAAAGTTGATCCCGCTCGGAGGTAAGCTCCTTCTTTTCCCGAATCAACCTTTGAAGGCCTTCGAAAGCAAGAAAGTTGTCCTACAAAGTAAGAAAGGAAAACTTAGGATATGTTCAGGCAAAAAATAGAGAAACAACAAAAGGATTAACGAATATACCGTTGCGGCATTGTGCAGGCGTTGTTCAACAAGCACTCTCCCGAGAGAGCTTGTTTCTTTTCGCAATCATTCTCTGAAACCAAAGGTTTCAGATAATTAACAAGTTCTACCGGCTGGGATAGCAAGTTGTATCCGGTGGAGACCGAAAGAGTAACATTCCTCCTCTCTTGTGGATCTTCAAGGGGACTGCATAATTTTTCCCCAAATTCCCATTTTGGGACTGGGGAAGAGGAACACCTTTTTTTGGTCAGGTGCAGCCGGTAGAGATGATGTAGCAATTGCTGATGGAAGAGCTGGGGAAGATGGAGATGAAGCTGATAGCGATGAAGAATGAGAAGCTGCTACGACAGATGCAATGCTGGTTGTTAGATGCTCGCCAACCAAAAATGGCCGGGACCCGGTACTTAGCCACGTAGTGCCAGGCACAACAACTGGGACCCGAGAATGGGAGTTAGCATTTTTTACCATATCAAATTCCCCCAAAAGTGCCGAGACATCATCCTCGGTTGGTGTAACTAACTCTACAGATTGAGCATTCTGTTGAGTTGATGAGGTTCATCGACTTCTATGTAGAGAAGCTCTCCCATCACTAGCTTCTCCATCATCGTCGATTATCACAGTGTCTATGACCGGCCCAAGAAGAGGGCTAGTCACTACCACTTCCGGAGACGACTCAGGGGCAACAGGTTCTCCCTCTTATTCTTTCCGCTGACTGTGGAGGAACGCCTTCTTTTTGGTTACTTGTTCTCCGGTCGGAAACTCCATAATGAATTACTTGTGCCCTAAGCAAGCTAGAGACACCTATTCGAGTGAGCACCTCCTGAAGCAGCCTCGTCGAATCAGCAGGGTCGGCTAAAACATCGTCTTCGGGGACATCAACTGAGCCCGCTAGTAGACCTGATTTCAGAGAAAAGGTAGAAGAGATCAATCAATATCTTCACATGAAAAACTGAAACAAGATTAGTCTGAGTTACCATGATTTTTGGCCTTCCACCCATATTTGAGGGCAAGTTCTTTTCACATGTGAGTTTCAGGCTAGTGACATCCAATATTTTTTAGACCCACTAGTCCTAGCCTTCAACCATAGGTGGAACCCATCGAGTTACTGAAACAGGCGAAGGATGGAGGATCAATACGGGCATAAAAGAATACCTAGTAAAGGAAATATTAAACAAGGAGTTTACAAGTGCGGTTCCATGCTTCCGTAAAGGATGAATCCGTTTTCGGAATGATGTCGTTGGTGGAAATTGCAACGGAATCCACCCACGGTCGTTGTCATCATCCATGCTAGAAAACAGAGCATGTTGGCCACGTTTGCTGAAAGTTATCATTCCTCCGCGGAAGATTTTGGGGGAATAAAGATTCATTACATGATCTAAAGATATCTCTTCCCCTGTCTCTAGGCACAAGCACCTAAGACAAGCAATCGTCCTCGACACAGAAGGACTTACTTGTGCCAAACACACCTGATAGCTGAAATAGAACTCCACAATAACAGAGTCAAGCTCTTCACTAAAAAAATGCACCTACAATAAAAGGATACGTATAAAAATATGTAAAATCCTCCTTGGGTAGGGTCACTCGCTCTATTAGATCAGGAGCAATAATATCCAAATCATGATAGCGGCAGTCTTCCTTCACAACAGGAATACCGGAAGAACTGATGGAAGAAGGGTATCTACTAACAACCCATGTACGAGGGAGAGCAGAAGGGAATTTCTCTTCGATGTCTTTTGTTAGAACAAGACTTCTAGGAATGATAGAATTCACCATTGGAGGAGAAACATCTTCGGCTTTGCTTTTGCCCTTTGAAGAGCTAACGTTCTTTGAAGAAAAATCCATTTGGATGAAAGAAAAGCTTTGCCGTTTGAAGGGAGTTAAAGAAAGGTTGATTAACAGTAAGGAAGGTTTTAGAAAGCTTGGAAAATTATGGAGTATAAGGGGAGAAGGTTGATGCGTATAAGTAAAAGTTTTGGTGGCTAATTTCATGACCATGATTAACTCGATAATCGGCAAAAGCTATGTTGAATGGTGGGATGAAGCGTGTTCAGGGCATTAAATGCAGAGAGGCGTGCATCTAATCAACTGTCAGAAGCCTTCAGAGGGAATTATAATAGTTCACGCCAAAAGAATATTTCTACCAACTTTCCGGTAACACAAAGTTATGTCATCGGAAAGCAGGTGGACTATCTATATAGGGTAAAATGTGTCATGCCAGGTGTCCATTTAGAAGAATGACATGTGGAACCGAAGCCAATTATCCCATTTGATACCGGAACGAATGACATTCATAAAGAAGCTATAAATACCTTTCGCCCGGTGGCATTAATGAATAATATTCCACAATATTAAGTACGAGATCCGTTACAAGGAATTTGACATTTATGCTCACTGTTACACCTCCATCAATGGACTTCATAATTGACATTAAAGGGGGGCACGATCCTAGGACCTCGTTCCCCAGACTTAACTATAAATAGCGAGCTCTTTTATCATTGTAAAGACAGGAATTTTCTGACAAACTGATGCTACAATCTACTCAAAACTCTATATAATTTTTATCTTCTTATTTTCTGTTCTTGTTACAGTTGCACCCGGAGGATTCGCTACCAGAATCTTTATTTCTGTCATTTCATCCTCATATCAAGGCTAAGTGTTGTATATTTTTTAATTATCTTATTATTTCAGGATCAAATTAATTCACTTGTCTAAAAATCATGTATAAATTCAACTATACCGTTTTACGAGTAACCAGTCTTCAACCGGTCAATCTCCCCCTCTACTTATTTTTCATTTTGACTTTTAATTGCTTATATCTAAAAGTTGGATTAATTTCACATTTTGTTCACCGAACTTTATCTGTAGTATAGTAAAGTCACTTGTTAGTAGTACTTAATTTTCACTTCTTTGAGCATATAAATAATGTACTTTTTTTTTTAACCTGTGGAGTGATTTCTCAAGAGCACAAGAACCCAACAAATAAAACAAAGAAAATCCCATAATAATAATAATAATAATAAAGGAAACACTAAGTTACAGAAATTTGGAAGGGTAAAGGAATAGGAAAAAAGAACAAGAAGAAGAACATGAGAGGTAGGTTACACAAGCGATAAAATTTTATAAACATATGATGACTTCTTTTATTTTATGATCGATTATTGTATCGAAATAGAAAGTCATTCATGACTTCGTTTATTACTTTTACAAAGCACAAAAGACGAAGAAATGAGAAAAAGACAAAGAAAAACGCTAAAATCACAACAACACTCTAATGCATATAATAGGAATTTGTAGTTGAGTTTTTGCCATTCCTCACTACCGCACCTCACACACGTGGCCACCATATAGCGCCGAGTATCTACAAGCACAACAAATCCAACAATCACTGCAATCACTGTCCGAAATACAAGATCTAATACAAGTATTCAGTTGTGGAAGTAATCTCTTCGAGATTCCTAAAAGAACATGATCAACATCTGGTGTAGCTATGACTTGTTTCTTTGAGAATCCCGGTACATTAACTGAAAAGTTTCACCATCATAATTATTAGAATCAAATTATAACCATCAGCATAATATGAAATATTCACATTTAAACATCATATAATGAAACATATGGGTACTTATTAATGGATTCATATGAAATATGCACAAATTCAAATATGTGTATATACATATTAACAAACACAATATAATTACAAGTGTAATATAAAGATAAATAAAGATGAATACAAACTAGTGGTTACCATGATAAAAATAACAATAGTGAAACTACTTTGCGACCAAGGGAATATTCACTGAAGTATTTCACCATTATAAATATCAATATCAAATAATCATCATCGTAATATTAAAATTCACATTTAAACATCATATAATGAAACAAATGCATGCACATTATGGATTGAAATGAAGTATGTACAAAAAGTCATCTATATACCTATATACATATTAACAAAATACATAATGTAGAAGTATAATGTAGAGAAATATAGAGATAGATACTAACTAGTGACTGCAATGATAAGAATAGTGATAACGAAACTAAGCTTAAACATCGTCATGCTAGGATTAATACTTCAGCTTTATGATGTTTTTGTACGAGTATCTCATTGCTCTTAAAAGGTCGTAATTTATAGGCCTCTCGATAAGTAAACTACCTCTCAAGCATGTAGTACAGTTGCTTTTTTTATTTTATTTTATATTATTTCTGAACTTATTTGTAGTTCAAGTCGTGATCACGATGGCATAGCTTATTTTTAATGCATTCTATAGTTTAAAATTACACTTCTTTCGAAAAATGAACATGCATTTAAGATTTGGAATGAGACATTTTGCCAATAAAGTACTCTATATGGAAAATTGCTTCTTTATTTTACTCCTCCCTTCCTTTTTAAAATATCTTTACATTTAAGAGCATGCATTTCAAAATATCTTTACATTTTCCATGCGTAGATATAAGGATCTTTTAGTAAAATAACCTATTTAATTAATATTATTAAATAACTTTCTTAACGGGTGTATCAAACCCTTAAAAATCACTTAAAAATAAATAGAGGGAGTACCTTTTTAAATAATTGGTTGACTTAAATTGAGATCCATATTTTCCGCATGATGCATGTTAGAATTAAAGTTAACCCAATCCAAAGCATTTACACTATGCATTTGGCTATTAATTTTTTTTATTAAACTAGCATTGTCCATTTGAGTAAAGGAAACTATAGGCTTTTTTCTTTTATGATTGTAAACCTTTTTGTGTTAGCCAGGACTATATTGGGTATTAATATTAACAATTAAAAATTCTAATTGAATTGTTTATAATAAAAAATATATTACTTTAAATCAAACCTGTTTTCTTCTTCTTCATCTGGAGGGTCGAGGTAGCATAATCACCTAATTGTAAACATATTTAATATACGTAAAAATAGTCAAAAAAAATCAATTAATGTAGATCCCAAGGAATATATATTTCTATTGGTAATTGAACTTCGCACGTTATTCAATTAATGAACTAACTGCGCTACTTTTTAATTGCTTATTTTACAAAGTAATTGGATGACAAGGTCACATGACATTTTGAAGTAGCGCATGTGATTTTCCTTCTCATTTATGGCACCTTAACATATTAATACATGTGCCAAAATATTGATGGCATTCACTTCATCGAGGTTAAGAAGATTGTAGGAGAAAACTTTTTTTAATCGGGTGAGAGATTTTTAAACTTTCTTACTTGATTCTTTCAATACAAAAGAACCCTATTTATAAGCAAACAATTTACTTCTCAAAAGGGTCATGAGTCAAGTAACTCTTTATTTCTCTAAAAGCTAAAGGTGAAGTGGTTTTTCATTTCTCTAAATAATTAAAGGTTAAGATAACTTTTCAACAAATTAAGTTAACAAAAGATCATGACCTATCGGTGATATATATATAGACTCACAAATTATGAAAAAGAAAGAAAGTGGATTTCAAAATAAAGAAAAAGCATCAGGTGAGGGACCAACGAGGAGCTTAATTATCTCCTGGTAAAATAACATAGGGGATATTGTTAAGAGAATGAAAAGGTTTGTTGCTAACTTTATTTATCATATCAAGGTCATTAATATGAATATCAAAGGAAAAGAAACACGTTAAATGGCTAATTTGCATAGACGGAGTCAGAATTTCAATCTTATGAATTCTGAATTTTAGTACACGACTTCAAGTGTTAGTAA